CTCCTTTAAGGATAATATGTAAAAACGTTTTTTTTTAATTCCCCTGGGGTAATGTCAAAAATCAGATCGGCAACACTGAACATGTCCCTTATTTTTATTATTACTATTGAAAAAAAAAAAAACGTCGTAATGCAATCAAATACAACAATTTTCTGAAATATTTGATTGGAAGTACCTACAAAAGAATGATGGTGAATCATTTCTCAACACAATTTTATAAATAGTCAACACAAAATTAGAAAAGATCTTGTATGTAAACACGTTACGAAATGCCGTTGTGCGTAACTCGTTCATTTTGCGGTACCTCGCTCCGCTCGTCCCGCAAATATTTACTCGTTACACAAAATAAGGCATTTCGTAACTGGTTACATAAATAGCTATTAATTGACTTCCTAATATTTTAAATCATTTAACAGTATTTTCCGTAAATAATTAAATCATAATTAATTTTTTTATTTAATTTAATTATTTGAAATTAATTCTGATGCCTTGGTAGGATTCCCCACTCGACCATTCACTGTTGGGTATTAATTAACAGTGCTGTTCCTAAAGTGGCGCTGGGAAACAGTAACAAAGCCTACACAGAACACGAGGCTAATAACCGTAGCAGTTGATGCCGATGACACAAAAAAAAATTACCGGCATATAGGTACCAAATAGTACATTATATACCTAGGGTGAGAAGTGAGCTATTATTTACTGAGCACTTTTATATCCTGAGGCGCGTAGCGCCGAGGGATATAATGTGCGAGGTAAATAATAGCTTTCTCAGCCGAGGTATATATAGAATTTTTTTTACTACTAACATTAATGTATTAGCAATTTTAATTTTGACATAAGTAATTTCCTAACAATTTGTTAAATATTTCGAAATATCAAGCAGACTGGAGCGTGTTTCTAATCAGACTGGCTTTATTTATGTAAAAATTTGGCATGTGTCAAATTTTGGTATGATTCTAGGAAATATCCCATTGCATTTTTGATATTTTAATGACATGGATTTATTGTTATTAATTAATAATTTTTAAAGCCGGTGTTGAATTTCCTAGTTAATATATATTTTTACTATTAACACTGATATATATTATCATATTTGATTTGATTAGATTTTAATAAACCCAGCTTTAGTTATTTCCTACTTATTTTTCAAATATTTCAAAATATCAAGTAGTCTGGGAGTTTAGTTGTCAAATCAACAAAATGAAACTAATGAAATTTAGTTTCATTATTTACCTAGGTTTTTTTTATTATCATTATTTACCTAGGGAGAGAAATATTACTTCTCATTAGAGGAATGGAGTAAATAATGGTGATTTCTCATGTTAGTAGTAAAAAAACATTTTTTTTCTCTTCGAAGAGTAGGCTTTTGTCAAATAAACTTAAAATATTATAACGAACGAAAAAGTAACCCATTTCTAATAAAATTTAATTATTTATTTTATTTTGGTGTGATCGTAGAAAAAATCTTGTGTGTAATGCGAGCAAAAAGTACCTGCTGTTTCGATAACTTTTTGTCTCAACAGCTATTTTGTTACAATAATTTTATAAACTTTTACTTAGGGTCGATTTCACCGTTTTGTTAAACGAAGTTGAAAATACTAAACGAAGATAAAAATGACATTTTTACATTAACAATATCATTTTAATCTTCGTTTAGTAATTTAAACTTCGTTTAACACAACGGTGGAATCGGCCCTTATAGCTACTAGCTATATATTGATAAAGTGTTATTGCTCTCATCATAAATGAATCGTGCTAACAAATAAAGTCAAAAAAACGTCTCATAATTTTTTATCTTTTAGTTACCTACCTACCAAAAGTAGGTACTACAATACAAATATTTAAGTCCGGCCTAGAATATCTCCCTACTCCTTCCACCCAGTTTTTCGGTTTTGGCAAAATTCGCGCAGCGACAAATGCTTCATATCGATTTAATGCTAATACCCCGTATCTGCAAAATGTAAAATTTTACAGGAAACACAAAAAACTTGTTAAAAGCAGAACTGTCAACAAGCAAAATAAATTTTATTTTTAAAGTAGGTACTCAATTATGTTTATTCAATTAACAAAAAATAAAAGTTTTAGTAAAACACAAGTTTCATAGGTTTAAATGAAGATACGGGATATTAGCAAATGTAAATCAAAGCAAACGGTAGATACGGGCTATTTTCTATAATATTTTTATAGCAAATAAATACACCAAAATACAAGAAAATGATTTTTATTAGAAAAATTAACAAAGATTATTTTATAAGGAAATAGCAGTTTAATACCTAAGACTATACCTACTATGATGATGAAACATGTGGAAGGTTGCTATAATATTCAGGCAGGCAGATACAGATTTAAGCTCTTGGAGATGTTTCCACTTTTGTAGCTTAATTTTTATTCTCTCTTTATGTAATGGGGGGTAGTCTGTAACGTTAGGGTAATTTACCTTTCTACATGGCAATGGCTGGAGACTGTGATTAAAATTAATTTTATACATAATTTTGTTTTCGTTTGGGTTGTACTGCAAATGTCTGAGATCAGTTACAGAGGGCTCATTCTTTTTTTTCCGGGGCGAATAGAGTTGTAACTCCATGAGGATGGCTTTGAATAGCCCTTAAAAAATCCATGTGTTAGGTAATACGTATCTATTGGACAGGGATTTCATCTGGCCTCTCTGGTTATGTTTACGTAGTCACTTGGCAAATGAATAAAACGGTTTTTTAACTTTCGCTCAATCATACTGTGGACTGCGTCGCATTCCATTTGCGTGTGGCCCCTCTCTAAAAATTTTTGTTCAATTAGAATATTATTCTCCAAGCAATATTGAAACAAGGCGTTGGCCATAACAACATTTCTATTCTGGTAGCAGCACCCGTCAGAGTAAATGACAATGGGCAGTTTAGGATCACTGCATTTCTCTTTCAGGTAATGAATCAAAAAACTTGCAAATGTAGATGCCGACAAGTCGCCTTCAGTTTCGTTCCACCAGTAACAGGTGCTTTGGTGTGTCGCCAAATTGTAAACGGTAAAATTATGACAATTTAATTTCATCTTATAATAAATTGCGCTTGCGTTAATCACTGGGCAAATTTTAACGGCTTGAACATCTACAACCAATGTATAGGTTTCTTTCTCCCCTTAAAGCTTTTGCTTTATCGTCCTCCTTCTCTTTACGAGCTCTATCTTTTCTTTCTAAATGATTTTTGTAATCTATTTCGTTTATATTATTAGTTTCAAAAGAACAACATACATCACATTTATCTTTTTTTAGCTTATAAAGGCTAATATTCATCTGCGTTAACATATCGTCAAATATCGGAAAACTGACAATGTAGGTTTTTTTATCATTGTCTTTGCAGTAAGTTTCATAAACACGGTACAAATCTATTTTTGTCCGAAAAACTTGCTCAAGATATAACTTCTGCGAATCTTTTCTGCAATAATGGTAACTTAGTTTTGGTAAACTTTTTAACCACTCTCTCAAATATAATTTTTTTTCATTTTTAAAGCCATTATCGCTACGCTACGCGGTAAACAAAACGAACAAAACGCACTCAAAAAAATCTTCTGTCACTTTAGTGGAACCATAATTACATCTTCACTAAACTAGCGTATTCGTTGGAAAATTCCACACCTGTACTTTTGAACCAATCAAAATACGTGTTTTTGACAGATCACCATGGCAACGGAGGTATTTTAGTGGAAATTTTTTTCTCGTGGGGTACCCAACAGCGAATTATACTGGAAATTTTTTGACGTTTACAATAACAGACCATTTTTGACAGACTGGTTTTTATTTGTTCACATAATAGGTTTAGTTTTGATACATTTTAGTTACAACAATGCTAAGGTGTTTTCTATATTCTTCGGCCACTTCTTTTCTTCTTAATGGCGAAAATGCAGGACTTTGGATGCTTTGAATTATGTGTCTAGGTCTAATAAAATATATATAATATTTAGACACTAATTTATTCACCTTTTTCCCATTCAGCACTTTGAATTTTGCGTAGTTTAGGTGCAAATATTCGCGGACAATTCGGAACAAATTTTCGTTTTTCAAGTTGGAGCCACAATCCTCTATTAATCCGAGTAAGTAAGTCATGGTGCAATGATTGATCATTACATCAGACAATTTCACGCATATTTTGCATAGCGTATGATTTTCAAATCGATTCATTTTTAAACAAATAGGTAATTTTGTTGGTTTTACTTGCTGTGCAATATTCTTTATCGCAACAAAACGCGAGTTATTTAATGTTTTGAACTGTCAAAATACAATGATCACAGCCTCCTACGATTGATGCTTGCTGACGCTGGTTATGAATTTCATACCATTTTAAAGCGCTCATAACGCATGTTAATAAAAACGCAGAAAAACAATTTTCTACCACTTGTAGTTATTCAAAACTTACGTAAAATTAAAGAATATACTATTTTCAAATGGTATTCCCATGCAACTACAATGAGTAGAAATAAGCAATTTGAAGGCCTAAATAATTGCAGCGAAACATTTTTTTACGTCGGGCCGCTTGACAACTTCAAAACTGAAATTATATTCGAGGTTAGGGTCTCACTTAGTTACCATGACAACTCAACAATCAAGGCGACAACACCTTTTATGTTTCACTGGTGACTTGGAGAAAATAATTTGCATTGTTGAGAAACGAAAAATAAATTTTAAAAATATTTAATTTTCAACCATAATTCGGCGTGGAATTTTCTTACCGAATACCACGCGAGGTCAAATTAATATCAGGAAATGTTTTGACCTCTAGTGGTATTACTAGTGACAATTCAGACATTAGAAAATAAGTCACAAATGTGCACGCTGGCTCTAGGACTATTAGTTGTAAAGTAAAGTTCGCAAAAAACCTTTGTTTTTATGGCGTTTATTCGAATTGAATTTCCGATCGCAGCTGCTGAGGGTTTTAGAGTTTGCTGTTTCATGTCATTAGTCTTTTTTTTAGTGTCAATTGTCATGTCACTCGTATCTCCTGTCACTGTCACCTAATTTTGTTTACAATCGGCATTTTTCGATTTTTCAGTCTCCTACAAATATTAAAGATAAATTAAATTTCTATGATTTAAAAGTCTTGTTCCCCCTGCATCATGCCAGGAACTATTTTGGAAAATTTGAGTGGAAAAAAACTAAGTATTTTGATTAGCGTTTTTTTAATATGCCAATTAGCCTGCTTTTTATTGGGTCTTATAGCACCAAGTCCTGCAACGACTCAAACAATCTTAGCAACAGTTTGTGTTGATGAAAATCCATTATCCTCACGTAGTGCTACTGATAAATGGTTTACTCGACAATGTTCGAAAAGCATACAATTATCTGATCCAAAAGCCACTATTGGTTTAGATGCTAATAATTTGGTGAGTACTTAAAATTTGCTAGATTTTTTTATAATGCTCTATGGTAGAGTGTAATCTATACTACGTATTTATAGCGATATTTCGAAAATTCTTATTGACTAGGGTTGGGGTTTGACTCTTGGGGCTAGGGCAGTTCGGGTCTAGAAATTGGAGGCAAACTTGATACATAGATGTATATGCCCATAAATGTGAAAATCACAAAAAAGCCCATCTCTACCCTTCCTCTAGCTTAGATGGAGGAAGTGTCACCATCACAAAATTAAGTTAAAATTTTTTAAATAAAACGGTTGGAATCTACGATTTTCTCTACATACAAAACCAATTATTAAAATATTTTCAATATTTGTTTTGTACGTTTCAATTTGAATCATCAACAGGACAGGAATTCTTATGTATGAACTCAACAACATTTAGGGTTGCCAAAAAAAAAAAAGGTCGGCAAGTGTGTAACAAAAAAAAAGCTGTCCTTATAACATTACATGTTGAATAGAGAGAGAGAGAGAGATTACATAAGAATCGTATTCTGTTGAAAAAAGCTAGGTGTCTCGACATGTGGCATTTAAAAAATAGTTATTTACTGAGTGATGAAGATTTCATTTTTGGCACATTTCCAATAGACCTGACTTACAAAGTACTTATCTTACCAGCATCATCCCCTAGCAGAATGTCCTCAAAAATTAAGTTAGGGAGAACCTTAAAAAAATTTAACACTTACACACCCTAAATTTTGGTTAAATATGTAGAAAAAATTATAGTTTACAACTCTTATTTAAAAAAGTTCTTAATTTTTTTGGGGATACTTTTGTCAAAAATTAAATTTTTATCTCCTCTGTTAACTATTTTTAAATGCCCTGCCCTCATATGCTTCTCAAGTTTAAAAACATTTTTTAAAACATTTTATTCAAAAACATTTGAAATGTAGGGTGTGAATGTAGACCCAGGAGCTAAACCCAAACCATTTTTCTGTTAGTTTACATTTTTGTAATATCCCTTAATTAAATTAATATTTTTCACTGTTGAATCCATAGTAGTTAGTATATTGCAATGATCTGATTTAATCACTAAAAAACTAAGAAATTAAATAGCACCCTATTTAATTAATTGTATTAGATATGGACTAATTTAAAAGTAAATAGGAGACATAATATATGAAGCTGAAACTAGCAGCCAGAGTTAGCAGCCTGTGTAAGAAATTGCATACAAGTTAGATATCACAAAATAAAGCAATTTTACTACTTAATTTGTCTTATTACAATAATATTAGTAATAATAACAATATTAATGATAATCAAAGGGAAATTATCCGTATTTGGAAAAATAAATAGTACAAATGAAATGAATATAGGTACTTTAAAAAAAACTTCAAATGTATATTCTAATTTTTTGAACGAAAAATTATCGGCGCTAGGTTAAATCATACATAAATACATTCCTCAAGTAATATATCTTAATCAATAGGCTACAAGAAAACGTCAATCTTAAACATAATATCAAGTGTTAGAAAGTTAAAAATATCAAAAAACAATTTGGCTCGGAAAACATTTCACATAAAAATATGATTTTTCTAAATAAAAAATTATCGGCGCTGGGTTATATGATATATCAGTGGATTACTCAAACAATAGGCTACAAGAATACGTCAATTTAAAATACAATATTGAGTGCTAGAACGTTGAAAATAACAAAAATTATTTAGGCTTGAGAAACATTTCTCATAAAAATATGATTTTTCTTTAAGAAACATTATCGGCGCTGGGTTACATAATGTCTCAATGGATTATTTAAGCAATAGTTGAAAATAGTATGTCAATCGAAAATGCAATATCAAGTCCTGGAATGTTAAAATTATTATATTTGTATGCCTGAGTAATACTTAACACAAAAAATATGTTCTTTTGACGAAAAATTAATGGTCTGCGCGTTATATAATAAATCAATGAATGAATGAATTAATGAAAGCAGAATCCTACAAAAGTACGTTAATTAAAAGTACAAGTGCTAGAATGTTAAAAATAAAATATATTTAGACTCTAAAGACACTTCACATAAAAATGATTTTTCATAATGATATTAGTAATAATAACAATAATAATGATAATAACAAAGGGAGGTTATCCATATTTGGAAAAATAAATATTAGTAAACATGAAATGAATATAGGTACTTTAAAAAAACTTTAAATGTATATTCAATCTTTTTTTTAACGAAAAATTATCATCACTGGGTTAAATCATACATAAATAGATTCTTCAAGTAATAGGCTACAAGAACAAGTCAATCCAAAATACAATATTAAGTGCTGGATTGTTGAAATTATATTTGTGTGCTAGAGTAATACCTAACACAACAAACATATTGTTTTATTAATGAAAAATAACCGGCACTGGGTTTTATCATACATAAATTGAATCTTCAAGCAATATGTTATAAAGAATAAATAAATCAAAACTACAATATCGAGTACTAGAACGTTGAAAATATCAAAAAACATTTAGGCTCCAGAGAAATTTCGAATAAAAATGTAATTTCTCTTGAAAAATTATCGGCGCTGGGTTATATTATGTATCAATGGATTTAATAAATAATCAATAGGCGACAAGGAAACGTCAATCTTGCACATAATATCGAGTGCTAGAAAGTCAAAAATATCAAAAAACAGTTTGGATCGGAAGACACTTCACATAAAAATATGATTTTTCTAAATGAAAAATGATCGGCGCTGGGTTATATGATATATTTATCAGTGGATTACTCAAGCAATAGGCTACAAGAATATGTCAATTTATAATACAATATGAAGTGCTCTAGAACGTTGAAAATATTAAAAATTATTATTTATTGTATTTTTGTTTGACGTATTCTTGTAAACTATTGCATAAGAAATCCACTGATGTATGATTTATCCCAGCGCTGACAATTTTTCATTAGGAAAAATCATATTTTTATGTAAAGTGTCTCTCGAACCTAAATATATTTTGTTAATTTCATCGTTCTAGAACTCGATATTGTTCTTTTAATTGATGTATAGTTATAGCATATTACTTGAGGATTCCATTGATGTATGATGTAACCCAGCGCCATTAATATTTCGTTAAAAAACATGTTTTTTGTTTTAAGTATTAATTAAGCACACAAATATAATAATTTCAACAATCCAGCAGCTGATATTTTATTTTTGTTTGACGTATTGTTGTAGACAATTGTTTACGGAATCCACTGATGTATGATTTAACCCAGCGCCGATAATTTTTCATTATGAAAAATCATTTTTATGTTAAGTGTCTTTAGAGTCTAAATATATTTTATTTTTAACATTCTAGCACTTGTACTTTTAATTAACGTACTTTTGTAGGATTCTGCTTTCATTGATTCATTCATTCATTGATTTATTATATAACGCGCAGACCATTAATTTTTCGTCAAAAGAACATATTTTTTGTGTTAAGTATTACTCAGGCATACAAATATAATAATTTTAACATTCCAGGACTTGATATTGCATTTTCGATTGACATACTATTTTCAACTATTGCTTAAATAATCCATTGAGACATTATGTAACCCAGCGCCGATAATGTTTCTTAAAGAAATATCATATTTTTATGAGAAATGTTTCTCAAGCCTAAATAATTTTTGTTATTTTCAACGTTCTAGCACTCAATATTGTATTTTAAATTGACGTATTCTTGTAGCCTATTGCTTGAGTAATCCACTGATATATCATATAACCCAGCGCCGATAATTTTTTATTTAGAAAAATCATATTTTTATGTGAAATGTTTTCCGAGCCAAATTGTTTTTTTGATATTTTTAACTTTCTAACACTTGATATTATGTTTAAGATTGACGTTTTCTTGTAGCCTATTGATTAAGATATATTACTTGAGGAATGTATTTATGTATGATTTAACCTAGCGCCGATAATTTTTCGTTCAAAAAATTAGAATATACATTTGAAGTACCTATATTCATTTCATTTGTACTATTTATTTTTCCAAATACGGATAATTTCCCTTTGATTATCATTAATATTGTTATTACTAATATTATTGTAATAAGACAAATTAAGTAGTAAAATTGCTTTATTTTGTGATATCTAACTTGGATGCATTTTCTCACACAGGCTGCTAATTCTGGCTGCTAGTTTTAGCTTCATACATAATAATGTTTCTAATTATTAATATTTTTACAAAATTTAGTACAACTGAAAGTGAAACTTTATTTTACAGGTATTTGTAACAGAGATGCCATTACTTAACTTGGATTATTCTCGTTGGCAGCAAAATTTGGTTGGAATACTTCAAATAGATATGGTCTATCAGAATGAACAAAAAATTTTGAATCCAATGATCGAATTGACACTTGATTCTCGTTTAGCCTTTAGTGATAAAACACCAAATGGTGGTAAAACGCCTTGGAAGTACTATTCTCATGCTGAGGAAAAAAGATATATGAATTGCATATTTGAGGAGAGGGTTGAAGAAAAGCATGGTTATCCATATAACTGTACAATGGTTGCTCTTTTTGAATTAGGATCTTTGTTTCATGATTATTACCTATTAAATTTGCGTATGCCTTACAATTATACAACAAAAAAGAACATTGATCTGGGTAAAGTTGAGGATGTATATCTTCATACTATTTATATGAATGGAGGTTTTACAAAAGTTTGGGTTAGTTTAAAAACCGTGTTCTTTCCTATTCTTTTAAGCATAATGACTTGGTTTTGGCATCGAGTGCATAAACTTAACAGAAAACCAGTTTTATTAGAGTATATGCTAATATCTTTAGGATGTACTTTAGCATTTCTTAATCTCCCAATAGAATTTCTTAGTTTAACTTTTGAAATGCCTTATATGTTATTATTAAGTGATATCCGCCAAGGGATATTTTATGCCATGCTACTCTCATTTTGGTTGATATTTGCTGGTGAACATATGTTAATTCAAGAGCATGCAGAAAGAAATACTTTAAAGAGATACTGGAAACATTTAAGCACAATTGCTGTTGGATGTTTATGTTTACTTATTTTTGATTTATGTGAAAGAGGTGTTCAATTAGTCAATCCATTTTATTCAATTTGGGTCACACCAGTTGGTACCAATTTGGCTCTTGCTTTTATTATTTTAGCTGGAATATCTGCAGGATTATACTTTTTATTCCTATGCTACATGATCTGGCGTGTATTTAAAAATATTAGTATTAAAAGATCTGTTTTACCAAGTATGTCTCAAGCCAGGCGATTACATTATGAAGGTATTATTTATAGATTTAATTTTTTGATGTTGACAACATTAATTTGTGCTGCTGTTACTATAATTTCTTTTATACTCTCTCAAGTTGATGAAGGCCAGGACAAGTGGGATGAAACAATGGATTTGGAGTTGTCTTCTATAATTCACACTGGTGTATATGGAATGTGGAATATATACATTTGTGCTATGTTAATTTTATATGCTCCTAGCCATAAACAGTGGCCATTAGATCCTAATTGTTCTGACGGGGAAGAAGTAGAATTTAGTCGAATTCCTAATGAATCAGCTTCCAATGAAATTTCTGCTTTAACCAGCTTGTCTGCTAAAACAAGTATTGATTAAGTTTATTTTATCTCTATACTGCTTGGTGCAATACTAATATCTTAAATTATTTTTAAACATTTGCCAGTAATTTTTTGTGAAAATACTAGACAAATGGGTGCTTTCATTAATGTAGAGAAATATAAAAGTGCTCTCCTATATAGAAATGCATAAGACTAATTAGTTTTTAAGATAGTGGAACTTTTTTTAGTAACTCTTATTCAACTTTAGATTGGCTTTATGTTCAGTATTTAAAGCTAAAATATAATTATTTTAGATACTTCATGTTGTTTCATACCTCAACTCACTAATATTGCTGCTCCTGTTCAGAAATATCGCCAAATTTTATCTCTGAATAATGCTCTAAAGAACTGCTATCACCGAGGCTATCGCAGTTTCTATTGACTCGTTTCCGGTTTTTATTTTTTAATCTAGTTTTTTTATGGTAAAATATCTGTGAGTTGAACTGTATCCTTTAAATGGTTTATAAATATATGTAAACTATAAATAATAAAATATTGTACTCTGTGGCTAATAATCAATTTGTTTCTTACTATTACTTTCTTGGTAAACTTTCAGAACATCATGCATGGTATTTTTAGACCATTTAATAAGTATTACAAGTACTTAAGTTTTATAAAATCAATAATTATTAAAGTATAACTGAAATATTTACTATTAATTAGATATAGTATGTTCATTGTTGACATTTTACTGAGATAGAAAAGTATGTAACTCCATTTTAAGAAATTTTACAGGAGCCAAAAAAAGGTTTTTTTTTTAAATTATATGTGTTTAATATGTGTTTGTGACGTTATGAATCAGTTGTGTATACTAACAGAGATCTTAGATAAATAATTTGTTTATCTGAGGCAGAAATACACTTTGTTATACAAATGTCAGCCGTCTGGAGTTACATAATTTATATTTTCCATTTTGGAACAATTACTGCAGGAAAGGATGATACAAAATTTTCTAGAGTGGTGCTATAACCACCTAGATAATAGAAGATACTAAAATCTGTAATTCATTAAAATGTAGTTACAAACTTTTTAGGTTTCGATATATTTCTAGGTATTTATTCCATGTGTATCAAATTTTGAAAACGAACAGTATTGTATTTATTTTTGCTTTTATTTTATAACTTTTTTACAATAAAAAATTAATTAATACTTTTAGTGTTATTCCCATTCTTAATATAGGTACGACAGTTTGGAAACGGAATATTTATTTGCCGTCTTTGTTTTACAAGTAATAAAAGTAATAAAATAATTTTTTCAAAAAAACTCAAAAAACATTAATTTATTCCAAAATGTATCCAATACGATCCTGTCTAACTTAAATAAAGTGTAGAACTTTCGTTGAAAAATGTTGATCACATTCATGCCGTTTTAAGAACCATTCAGAAAACAAAACTCAGCGTGGGAAATCTTGCAAGTTGTAATGCTTGAGCACGTTGAACGGAAAAGGGATAAAATTGATTTTTCTGAAATGTCCACTTTTCTTTGACTTATCCCACCTGATCTACAATCATCCAAGAACTTGTGGGATCTTCATGGATAACATTTAAATTATTCTTCAAAACGCACTTTTTAATTTACTATACTGAACAATTTAAATAAAAACACTGTTGAAATCAAACGCGAATGAATTACAATGGGTAGTGTGAGTAAAAATTAAGTAATTGCTTTTACTTTAAAATAAGTAACGAATCGTGCTTATTAAAAAAAAAACTTCTGGACCTTAATTAAAGTTCTTAGAGTCTTTATCAAATAATCGGTATTCTCCAATTAAAGCTAAAAATTATAATTATTGGAAGGTAAGCACGAAGTAAAAGCAAAAGCTTAATTTGTATTCACACTACCCATTAACCGGTACACAATGAATCGTGATTCATAAGAAAAACAGACTTACCGCAATTAGCTTAACTTTTCATACAGAGGGACAGGCTCGGATTTTTATTGATTATTTTTGGGTTTTTGATGAAGTTATTTGGAAAAGACTCTCACTGACTTCGCACAGGTTTATAGTTTATTGAATAGTGTTGCTAACTCGGAAAATACAAAAGTATGTACAGACTTGCTACAAATATATAATAAAATAACGAATCTCTTAATAGACCAAATGGGGTAAGTACATGTTATTTAAAGAGAAAACTTTGCCAAGAGCAGTTTGTATATCTCGATTTGTTGGTTACAAACAGATGGTTGTATTTTATATTAATGTCTGGACTACTCATAACGTTTTTAGATTTACAGGGCGAATCTTATTAATTTGATACTTATTTTAACTTTGTATAGAACAATAAATACATTATTGTGATTTTTTTATGAGTTAAATATGAATTATTACTTAAAACTATTGTGTAATGATTCATTACCCCACAGATTTTGACCATTCACAAAAATGGACAGGATTTATAACCATTTATTTCTAAACAATAAATGAATTGTAATAATAAAACATAATTTTTTATTACATATATATTTAAATAGTATGCACAAATAGCAATGACAATATGTAGTATTAGGGGAACAATTTTCAGCAAGTTTAACAACCATCATCAATATAACATTTTTACAATAATCAAATGGCACTTGCTGATTGAGCAATTTCGATCAGAAAAATTTAAAAAAAATAAGTAATTCTTTGGAAAGTTATATTATTGTAACAGGAAAATTGAATTAACAATTGACAAAAAAAAATGCGAAAATTTCATTTTCCTCTTCACATTTGTCCCTAAGACACGAGTCTGCAATATTTATGGCATAAAGTCATTATAAGTCAATTTTTTTCTGCCAAGGTTAGTAGTTATTAATTATTATTATGGACCTTCTATAAAATTTGATTATTTCATTATTTCTGTAATTCGTCATGCTCATTTACTCATATGCCATTACATATTTACTTAAAAATATATTAAAAACTAAAAATAAAATTACTGATTTAAAACAATCCCTAACTAACATTAGAAAATTTTGACGGTTGAACTATGGATGTTTTCCTTATTGGAACAGTGTCAGGTGTAGGAATAGTATCGCCAGTCCCTACATATGAATTTGGTCCAGGAAGGGGAAGTCCTGGTTTGTTGGTAATATTTCCAAATTTTTGTTTTGCCATTTGATAATCTCCAGAGTCAAAATATTTTTGACCTTTTGATAGACGCTTCTGTAAAAATGCTGAATGTCCACTTGCTTTCAAAGCAGGTCCTCCTCCAGGAGGAAAGCTGTATTTAGCTTTCAGTTTAGCTTCCTCTTGTTTTTCTACTTCCTGAGGAGTAAACTGAGGTTCATTTGATTCTTGTTCTTGTCCACTCATTTTAGGAATGTATCTAAAAACCAGTTATGTGATTATTACAAGCAATCATATTTTAAAAAAATACTGTTTAAGAAAATCTTAAATAAAATAAACCAATAAAACACTTTGGGTGTCAAGGAGACGTTACATATAAGAGTGGTGAAAGGATAGTGATGAAAACTTTACAAGATGCAAGTAGTTATATATCATGAATTAGGGTCTGATTATGAAGACAGTCTTCATAGGTCTGATTAAAAGATCATAGTAATTACTTTCTTATCCTCAGAAAAACTATTCCTGTTCTCACATGTTACACATTGGCATATGTGAATAGGAGTTTCATTTTCCTCTTCACATTTGTCCCTAAGACATTTACGAGTCTGCAATATTTATGGCATAAAGTCATTATAAGTCAATTTTTGTCTGCCAAGGTTAGCAGTTATTAATTATTATTATGGACCTTCTATAAAATTTGATTGTCTTCTATACCAATCTCTATTTAGCTATTTATTTAATTTGTAGATATGAAAGAGGTACATGTTGTTCTGCAACTCTCATATCCTGGCATCCATTTAAGAGTGGTAAATAAATATAATGGCTTGACAGGCAGCTCCTTGCTCTCTGTTTCTATTGAAATAAAAGATATACTCCTTGATATATCCATTGGATAGTAAAAAAAAATGTTGAAAATGCATTCACCAAAACAATATTTAAAATCGTAAACAACTTTAAGCCGAACCGTTTGTTTGGATTTTTATTTTCACAGAACTATGATGCTGATGGTAGGTGCTTTCAAATACTTTCATTATCCTAGATAGATATATTGCACTTTGAGTGCTCAGCTGTCGACAATTACTTGTCTCTTTTTACCTTCAGAGTGGGTGCATATGCAGTTATATCTATCTTACTTGCAATGCATTTAGCCTGATAACCTATGAGGTCAATTTAGAATAGGGGCAAGCATGCAGTAGATAGGAATGAATTGTTATTACACATTAGTATTCTTGGGGCTTCATTGGTAATAATTAGGGAGTTTTAGCATTAAAAAGTAATTGCACTTTTTTAGAGATAAGTAGTTCATTATTAAATATTTAAAATTGTTTCATTGACCAAATGTCCTTGTAGAGAAGCACCGCCTTATGTTATGGTAGCTCTAAGAGATGTTTTTGTTACTTTTGGTTCCTATGTACATCTAATGCACATGTATCTGGAAACTGTAAGTCAGCAACTAAAAACAATCCTTACAGAGTGGGAAGAAATTCACAACAATCTACGTCCAACACTATCTAAGAAGGAACTTGAAAGTATTTTCATGTTGTGTACTTATCTCAAAAAACGAATGACGAAAGGAAAGCTTGTGATTTGCATGTACCTATGTAGTGAGCTAAGAGGTTTGAAATGTTAAAAATAGTAGAGCAGTCTAAGGAGCACTTATATTTTTCAAATATAGTAATTTTTTTAAGTATTTTGTAAACTGTTACATTATTTTTTAATAATTTGGCTCAATGATAATTATTGTAGTTTCTTTCTCTTAAAAATGAACACATAAAATTGACATATTACTCAAAAATATTGAGGTTTTTTAATGATTGAAATTTACCAAAAAATGTATAAAAGAAACATTCAACATTACTGAACGTTATGGCAAGTAAGGCGAGAGCCTTACTTTTGATTATATTTGAAATAATGTTGTATTTCTATTTTCATTCTTTGAACTAGTCTTAATACACTCATCCTATGTAAATACTCATATTTACCTATATAATTATTACATAAAACATGTATAGCCAAATATTGAACAGTTTTAAATCACTTTAAACAATTCAGAAAACAAATTAGCTAAAACTGGTAGACTGTTTATAAAAAAAATAGAGCAAAAATTAGTGTAGAGATAAAATATAAATAACACATTTGGTAGATGTAGATAATTTTTTGAAAGAATACTTACAGCTATAGTTGTGGAAGCAGTTATAAAAAATCCAAATTTTTTTTTATGTAGGTCTTAGTTTCTGGGTAAATCAAAAAACAACCAGTGGGCTCAAAGTAAACAATAATTCACACGAAAACTTTGTACATTTAGAATATTAAAATAAGCTTCTATAAATTGGTAATTATATGAAACTTGTATAAACCTGCCTAAACTATCCCATTCATGAAAATTCTTCCAGTTGTGAGTTGACGGTTGTTAAATTATTCTGTCAAATGTCAAAAAAATTGATTTCAAACAAGCAAAGACTCTACCTAGCTTGATAAGCAAATAAGAAAGTACAAAGGTAAGTTACTTCCAATTCCATAACTAATTATTTTGGAAACTATGTGAAGACTATGTTGACTACTGGAAAGTTTAAACGTACGCGCTATGAGTTTGTTATCCGCTAAAATATCGATGGAAATTGTGAAAGTTGGTTTTGTGTTTTTTATGGCCACCACCGAATCGGGTTTTTAGCCATTGGTAGCACATATTTGACAATTCTATCCATCACTGTCCTGTGTCAACAATAGTTAGTGTTTTGTGGTTTTGTTTTGGAAAACAACTGTCTGGAATCTGGAAAGCATAAATAATCTATGGTTATTCTGTGCTATGGTGGAAAGTAGAAAAGAAATTGTGGAAAACAAGAAAACAAACGATAAAGTATGGATGTGGAAAATTCTCTAAAGAATGAATCAAATGAAACACTTTTGGTTTCTGAAGATGATGGTATTCAGTATTCAGATTTTGAAAATGTTGAATATGAAGAAGTAGGTGAAGATTTATGTTCAAAAACAGGAGATGAATTCTCCTTATCTTTTAATTCTGTAAGCATTCAACTAAGGCAGGCCTGAAGGAACATTCAATTTATTTTGTTTTTCTAGCTAAAAAATTATCACAGGAAAAGGACACGAAACTTCTCTCAAAGTGAGTGTAATTTAATATGTGCTATTTTACAAGACTATTATGATATAGTGGAAAATAAGAGGAATGACCACAAAACTAATTTTTTAAAAAACAAAGCCTGGTCTGAAATTACTCAGAAATTTAATGATAATACCAAAGATGAATATCGAACAGCCCTACAACTGAGGACCTTTTATGAAAATTTGAAAAAGAAAAGAAAGAAGTTGTTATTAGAGGTATTAATTTTTTGGATATATTTTTTATTTAAAAATATCAATTAAATAGCAAATATTCATATATTTATATTTTATAACCTGTAGGAGAAGGTTCTTAATTATTTACCACATCCAATTTCTATTTGTTTGGCCCCAAACAAATTTGATCAAGATTTGATGAAATCATCAAACTTCATTTTTGGAGATTTTTTTTTTTTAACTTTATTGAAAGTTGAATGAGCATCTTATCTGAAAAGAATCAACTCAGATGCAAAAATTTCACATACAATCAATACCAAATCAAATGATGTTAAAAGATAGTAGGTATTAAAAAATTGAAAAAGGGCAAACAATCTGTTTTCCATTTTTTTTTGAAACTTCATAGAAATTAATGTCCTTTTTAAAATATATTATTTAGAAGACAATATAATATATTTTTGGTTAATATAGTTGCTAGTAATGTATTCATACTAAATCAAATTTTATTAAAATATAGTAATAATAAAAACACTGTTGAAATTAAAAAAGCGCAAATAGGTAATCTGTTTCTGTATTTTTCTTGAGATTTTCCTAAAATGTCCTTTCTAAACTGTATTATTTAGATGACAACATACTTAACAGATTTTGGTTATTATATGCTGTGTTTGAATATCCACATCTGATGCATCTGAGATGTGAACTGTTTATCACATGATAGAGGATTAGTTTTAAATATAGATGTATTAAACAAACATTAGACTTTATTGGTCACATGACAAGTTAGAAGTTATACTTTTTAAATTTGACTTTTGAGACAAGAAATCAACCTAAATTTAAAAACTAAACAAAAATTAAACAAACTAATTACTTTTATATTCATGCTAGCATAAAAAAAGGATAAATCGATGAACTTGAACTAACTAAACTGAATCGACATCAGGCTTCACAGAACACCTACTTTCTGGCATGGAATGAATCTATCAAAAAATAAATGACTAGTTTGACAACCCCCACTACATCATCTCATTTCAAATCGAGATGAAAAAAATGTAATCTGGACAGCTACATCTCGGATAAACAAACGCAGATGCAGATGTGTCGAATGTGGATAAATACACACTTGAGATGTACAAAGTACATCTGATATAGATACTAAAATGCAGCAATAGTTGCTATATTTGTTATACAAGACAGGGATACCTTTATAACATTTTAATGGATGACTAAAACTTATATGATCAATTTGAACAAAAAATATAATTTTTAGAATGGGGAACCTACAGATTCTTCAGTAAGTCAAATTGAAAAAATAATTATAACTGATATTGAAACGCAACCAGCAAAGTTATATTTGAGAGAAAACAAAACAGATACCCTTAAGAAGAATAGTTTTGCAGAAGAATATCATAGAAAAAGGATTGAATTAGTAGATAAAGAAATTGAAAAAGTTAAGGCAGCTTGTGAGCAACAGCAGAGATTATTTCTGTTGCAAGAAGAAAAATTATTGTTAGAAATACAGGAAATCAAAGAGAGATTAAAAAAATAGTTCCATTAATAACTTTTTTTTATTTCGAGTAAGTAGGTATGACAAAACAAAACAATTTCAAGAAAAGTTGTAATATACCAAACTTCTCTTCTTTATTTCCAGACATATTTGCTAAATAAATCTAAAGCTGTGCTGCGTCCATAACCTATTGTAATAGGTATATTCAAAGACAATTACTGTACTGACATAATTTATTGACAACTTCTTACAATCTAATATCTAAACAAGTACATAATATATCATCTCTTAGATTATTATATATGATATACAGACTTGCATATCAACATTAATGACATTAGCTTTCAAATGCAGTGTCACACTTTGCAATACGTACGTTTTTTTATCAAACTTACTGCCGAATTCTCCATCAAATTACATTTTTCATGATGTGTTATCCTTGGTACTTTTTCCATTTAAATTGTAGGGGTTGTTCACCCCACTGCTCATGGGTTGAAGTGCCGATGCTACAATTAGAAAAAAGTGTCCCTCTCCAAACTGAAATCGACCAGTCAGCGTTTTTTTTTTTGTTTTTCCCGTCAATACGAAAAACTGGGTGGACCACCCTGTGTATACAATTGTGTTAATTATTTAATTCAACGTCCTGTCAGAATGATAAAAAATTACCGACGATTGGCAGAAACAAAGGTTTTTAACATACTCTTTCATTATTCTACTGTTATAAATCGTACATTTAATATTAATATATTCCTATAATATGCCGTTTTTCACACCAAAAAACTCCATAACAATAATAAGCACCGTTTTGCCACAAAACATTTATTTTGTTGTTTTCCTCATTGTCCACCATTAAAAGTCAGGTGATTTGGATTGCCCAATTATATATTAGTTTTGCCACAGTACGTAATGCCTATTCTATATGTATTTATGTTTGTATTACTTCTTCTTTAACACTTAAAATAAATATCAGCTTAAAAAATTGCATCCCTCCAACTTATCTCCAAAAGTAAGGCTCAAAAAAATTGAAAAAATAATTAACAACGGCGAGAATAAGGTGTAGATTTAGTGAAAATTATGAAGATTGCATTTTGTTAGATATATATAAAAAACTCTAATACTAGTACTTTGTTTCAGTAGCTGACCTGAATCGCGAATATATCAATGTGTCAGTATATCATAATTAAATGTTGAATACACAATTCTTAATTGTAAGGACGGATAAAATGTTAATACTTAAAAAAAGACTTGTAATTTAAATAGTTCTTAGCTCCTAAACATATTTCTAATCTCGTGATGATTCAAATATAAATAATTAGTTTTTCTACGATCACTATCCAAAGTAGGCTTTTGCGCAAAAAATTGACAGCCTAATTTAAATTAGATATAATAATATTTGATGTTTTTTTTGATTTATTATCCAAATTAACATTGACTTTGAATAGCAAATCCTTTTTTCATGATTAGCGTAGATACAGGCAACACATTATACACTACTTACGACAAATTTTTAGTTTTTATATCTATTTCTTAAAATAATGTGATCAGAGAAAAAATTTTTGTGCATTTTGAGCGACAGATTGCCGCGCTCCGCTGTGTCGCGCTGCCAACTTTCTGTCTCAAGCGACAAAATATCACTTTTCGTTCTTAATACCCAAATAGCTATTATTATATATTACTTATTATCATTGGATTTAGGGGTTTATGTGAGGTTACTATTACATCTACACATACCAGACTTAGGTAAATGAAACCTTCTTTTATTGTTAACATTTTTAAAAACATCTCTTGTGGGATTATAATAAGAAGTGCAAAGAAGAGTATTTCTGTTCTGAGAGAACGAAATAAAATTAAATTATAACTTTTTCAATACTATAATTGAACAATTTTTAATTTTACATTTCTAGTTTTTATATAAATAGAGATCAATAAATAAAATTTTAACTAAAAAAAATCGACACTCAAAAATGAAATATATACAATGAGCATTTCCTAAAAATAAAAAGGTTATTCTTTTGTGTATTCTTTCTGCTTTTCAGGATTTTCTGCATCTTCTCGAATTTCTTCACATTCGTTCCATTCTTGTACCTCTCCAGATGCAAACATTATAAAAAATATATCTGTCACGAAGTACACACCCGCCGAAATTAAGAATACTATCCTCCATTCAGATTGGTCAGTCTAAACAATTAAAAACCATTATTAAAATCAATTTTATTAATTTCTAAAGTAGGTACCTATAGTTTATTTGAAAATGAATGAGCAAAATTTTTGTGACCCAGGAGATAAACCTCAATATAACATCATAAATCAGTGACGGATAATTTCTAAAGTAAAATGTAAAGCATTATTTGTTCCAAAATAAAATCTTTTGGTTTTCTTCCTAAAATGTTTAAATTTTCTAGTCTTTTTAATCAACAAAAAAAAGATAAGTATGTAATCTCTACAGGTAGAAAATATTTACAATCCAAGATCAATTTAAGTAGCCCTCAACTTTCTTAGAGAGGATTAAAATTTCTAATCGGCAGAAAATGTTATGCAGATTGTAGATTATTTTAGTTGAGATTTACATTTCTGTTTGTATAGTCCTGTTATTGTAACACGCAGAATTGTAGGTTCTGTAATATAAGGCGATAAAAATCGATATTGATCAAGTGAATTTGTGCAATAAAAATGGCACAAACGTCTAATTATACTCCTGTGAAATTAAAGTGCAATTTAACCATACATATGAGAACTTTAGTGTTAAATGTACATAACGCTCTTGTACTTGAACATTTCAATAGTACTGTTCGGAGTATAGTTTCTAAGTGTTCAGATATGACCGGAGTTGGAGAATCAGCTATTTATAGACTTTTGAAGCAACGAAAGGTTGGAAGTATTACAGTAGCACCTAAAAGGTCAACTAGGAGAAAACCCATTCAAAGAGACGGTACTATAAAACAACTGATCCAAAGAAAAGTGCATTCATTTTATTTACAAAAAAAAGATACCTACTTTGGATAAACTTTTAGTTGACATTAATTGAGACGAAACTTCGCCAAAAGTTAAAAGAGGAAAATTGTGGAAAACTACATAAATTAGACTTTGTTTGGGAAAAGAACAATAGAAAATCTGCGTTCATAGAGAAAGATGAAATTATTTGTTGGAGGAGGTAATATTTGAGGGAAATTAGAAAATTAAGAAGAGAACACAAAAGTATTGTTTATTTGAATGAAACGTGGATAAATGAAGGACAATTTGTAAAAAAAGTTTGGCAAGATAAACAGGTTACAAATGCTCGTCAGGCATTTATAGAAGGTTTGTCTACTGTCTTAAAATTTCCAAATGGTAAAGGTCGCCGTTTAATTATTACTCATATTGGAGGAGGAGATAAGAGATTTGTTGATAGAGGCTTGTTAGAATTTGTTTTAAATTCTACGAAAGACTACCATGAAGAAATGACGGCTGATGTTTTTGAGGAATATTTCGGTCAAAAGGTTATTACCGACCAATTCTGTAATACACTGCCTGCCAAAATTATTAGATCACCTAAAAAATTCAAAACAAAATTTCTGTAGCTAAATTTTTGCAGGTGAATCCACTTTTTTTTATTAATGTGTAAACATGTTTTTTATCTTAACTTTATTTCGAGTTCCATATCGCAGTTTGTTTATGTGTAATAAAAAATTATCAGTTTGGATACTTTTCAGGTCAGTGTAAATTTTAACTTAAATGGTTAAACATTGATTTTGTTTTCATTATTTTTGCTTCGAACTTGAAAATGAATGCATGCTTGGGTTAGACACTCATTATCGCTAGAAAATTGTATTAATGGAGGAAGGTCGTAGTCAGCGATAAATCGCAGAAAGGCTTGGTGTGACCCAATCTGCAGTTTCGTATGTTTTAAGAAAATATAGAGAAAATGGGGATCATCAAAGAAGACCAGGTCAGGGTCGTAGACGCGTCACCAATGCCATTCAATATCGCTATATGGTCCAACAAATCCTTCGAAACCGTACATTAACAGCTCCTGAGCTGCAAAATGTGGTTAGAAGGACCTATGAAATACAAGTAAGCTTAAATACCATAAGAAGACGCTTAAGGGAACGGAACCTATCCCTACGGATCCCAGGTAGAGGACCGCGCTTGAGTGCAGAGCATCGGAGGAACCGACTTCAATTTGCGAGAATGCACGTTAATTGGGAACCGGCTTATTGGAGTCGAGTTTTGTTTTCTGATGAGACAAGATTTTCCCTGTACCATTCAGATAGACGAGTACGAGTTTACCGACGACCTAGAGAACGGTACGCACAGTGCAAATTTGTTGAAAACATTCGTCATGGTGGTGGCAGTGTTATGTTTTGGGGAGGCATCTCTTTGGAAGGACGTACGGAGCTAGAGGCGCTTCGGGAGGGCAATGTTAATGCTGCCCGGTACATCGCTGACATTCTTGAACCTCACGTGGTGCCATATGCTGAAAACTTTGGTGCCGATTTCATTTTCATGCAAGACAATGCACGGCCGCACACAGCTCGGCTGACACAAAATTTTCTTCGTAGTGAAACTATTGAGACTATGAATTGGCCAGCTAATAGTCCTGACTTAAACCCCATCGAGCATCTATGGGACATGATGGGTAGGCGCTTTAGAGCACTTCCGTATCCTCCGGCCGACCTTGACGGGCTCACTGTTCATTCCTGAGATTTGGAACGACATCGATCAAGCCGACATGAGGACGCTTATTTTAAGCATGAGGGAACAGTGTGAAGCTATCATACAAGCGAGGTGTGGAAACACTCGATATTGACTTTGTTTTTTCATAGGTGTACTAAAATTTATTTTTTGGGATATTTGCTAATTTTTAAAAGGAGGTTTATTTTGTTATTTTTTTGCAATATAAGGGCATATAATATGATAAGTGGAGTTTTGTTATGTTTCTTACTCAAAACCAACCATATAATAAATCTTATTTAAAATTTTACTCGAAATTATTGGGTGATCTAATAATTTTGGCAGGCAGTGTAGTTATGGGCAATGCCAGTTACCATTCAAGATTAAAGGAACCGTTATCATACCCTAAATGGAAAAAGCAAGAACTCTCCGATTGGCTAATAACCAAAGAAATAGTGTCCGAACAGGATTACTCAAAAACGAGCTATTGTAGTTATTTAAACAACATTCACCAAAATTTAAGAAGTATAGTGTAGCTAAAATAACAAAATAACATGAAGTTAAAGTTGCGGTTACCACCTTATCACTGTAAACTTAACCCCATTGAACTAATCTGGACTCAAATAAAGGGATGTGTCGCAATAAACAATACAACATTTAAACTTCAAGGTGTTCGTTAACTATTATGTGACTCCATTTCAAAAATTTCACCAGACAATTGGCAAAACACTTTAAGACATGTCATATCAGAGAAAGAGAAATTCTGGAAATTTGATATGTTAGTAGATGAATTATTATTTCTGTGGGAAGTGAGGAAACATGATGATGATGATGATGATGACTACTTATCGGGAGAAAACGACTTATTTATTTAGGTATGTAACTCTAGATTTATATTAATTATATGGCCCTAGTACCCGAAATACAAACAAACAAATTTATATGGAATCGCCCCGTATTTCTAAAAACCAAATAGGAGTCATTTATGAGAAAATATTTTTTGCAGAGTTTTTGTAGTATATTATATAAATTTATTATTCAATTTTAAGGAAATGTACTAACCTAATATCTAGTATACTAATTTTATAAAAATAAATGTGGGTACTTAATATTGACAGTTTACTATTTTTTACATTAAAGTAATTTCGTGTTCCCCGTTACTGAGGTATAGAATTATTGGTTAATCCCTTAGGGTTTGCCCATTTACATTTTAAGATGTATTGTATTAGAGATTTTTGGGGTGGTCATACTAAAATCTAATGAAAATTCAGATAAGAAGGTATCAATATTTACTTTTTTCTGCTTTGAACAATCCTGTATATATACAGATCGACCAACATAGCTTTGCCTCTGAGATGCGCAAACGATAAACAGAGAGGGTTAGTGTGCGACAAAGACCGACTTCGACCTTTCACCGGGACATTAATGACCTATCGCCCCACTCCGCCGACCAGTCTACTGCGCATCCAATTCTCAGAGGCAAAGCTATGTTGGTCGATCTGTACCTTTGTTATAAAAACTGCTATTATGCATTTTCAAACTATAGAACAAGCTTTAACGTTCTGAACATATCTACCCAAGATTCAGTGGCAGCTTGTGACTTGTGTAATAGGGAGGACTGAGTATAAGGGCACCAAAAAATCAATACCAAAAATCATTTAAACTTAAGCCTCGTATTTAACCAATACGAGGCTTTTTAATTCCGTTACTTTCATAATAAATTGTGAGAGGTTTTCTCAACTTGTTACAAATACTCTCACTTGTGGCGTTCGAACTGGGTGTGCTCGGGCGCCAGTTTGTTAGAGCGGTTTGCTCCACTTTACCTATTGGAACAAGTTCCAAAAAGGGCTGCAGGTAGCTGCAGTGAAGAAGCAAAATTTCCGAGGGTCAGCGATATTACAGTAGTTATGTAGTACCTGAAATGAGATTTACCACAAGGAAATTAAATTCCAGGTTTCAATTTGACACATATATTGATCAGTCTTAATTAACAATCGTTCCGTTTGGTAATCGGATTATGCTAAATATTTTATTTACAAGCAAGCCCTCCCAAGTTATTGGTTCTAACCCTGAACAAAATTAAACAAAAAGCATTCGTTACGGAAATTAACTGGCCAAATAAAGTAAAAACTCAATCGAACAAGTGAGGGAGTTTACGAATAAAACGGTGTCGGGAAAAGAGCGGTCAAACCAGAAGTACTACGCGTCATTGTAGCAAGTCTACGATTTTCGGCAGAGTGAACTTTCGGAATCTCATGAATTTCTACTCTAAGCGTCTTAGAGCTTCTGACTATTTGGTTATCCCTAAAGCGCGAGGGATATAGAGACACGGAGTGAACTGGAGCGTAAGTAACGTGCAACAGAGAAATTGCAAAATTAGCTACAGTCTAACGGACCACAAGATTAATATCCTGGCGACGCAATCCCTGAGGATGGCGCTCCAGGGTATGTAACCTCGTATAAACAAGACTCTGGGAGCAAAGTCAAATCAGCCCATTCTACCACGCGAGATAGTCACTATACATCGACTTACAATTCAGAGTCCAATCAACTGGCCGGGAATTCACTAGAAGTCTAATTAACTCTTGGGACAGGGACCAGGATTAAATAAATCAAAAGAATGTTAATCGCGGAGCTAGAGAAACACAGACTTGTACTAAATGGCAGCGAAGGTAGCTTAGCTTCACTTCTGTTCAATAGCAAATCCGGAAAATATCATCTGAGTTGGTTACCAAATTAGCCCATTCTACTGCGGGAGTAGTCACTGTCTTCAATAACAACTCAGACAATACTCTAATTCGTGGAATTTTAATATTGGAATGTACAAATAAGAAGTTCTTAGAAAACCTAACACGGCCTAACAGGAATGGGAAGGAACGTGAACCAAATCAATTAATTACTTAATAGATGTTCAAGAAATTAATGTTATTTCAGTTCAATCCACTTCTAACCCACCCGGTATAAATATTTTTTAAACTAATGTTCACAAAATTAACATGAACTAAATTATGTACAATCCCGGTATATATATTTTCAAAGCCAATGTTTACAAAATTTTCAAGTTTTAATTTTACGGTTTATTCAGTATTAATATTTCTTAAAACAAATCAAATCCTATTTATTAAAGAAAAATAATCCGAGCTTTTATTTACTTGAAATGAATTAAATTATACGGTTCCCAACACTAATGTAAAATTAGCAGACGAAATTCAGATTTGCTTCGAAAATACGGATAAGGTTGTAAATAAAAAATTGAATAAAAAGAAATTATAAACAATTCGGAAAAGGATCTAATTCCTTCTGATTTCACTCGGTTTTCGGAACAGACGGTTGAATGAATCTACTGAAATAATTTAATTACCTGTATGAATAGCGTAAAACCGGAAAAGATTTTAAATTATATCGGAATTGAAACAGGGTCGTAGTCTGAACTACCTTCATCTAAAATCAACTAGTCACGGCAAAAGAACCTAAGTGAATTGCCTTTACGATATCTAAGATCTGCCCAGGTCGGTAGTGGGGCGCGATGAATTTACAGCAATATAAAATTTAACACCTGGTTGAAATAAAATCGATAATTATTTAAAAATAGGAATGAATATTACGAAGATAAATAAACAACACACTAGATCAACATAGCAAAACAAACCACAAAGCGATCAACGGGGGCTCGATTCTCGAGATCATTGGAAAATTTTCCCATGGGAAAATATTCCACTACTTATATTCCCATAGTAATAGGTTATGCAATTCTCGAACGTGTCAGAATAGACATTCCCATGGAAACAGTAGTTTCACGTATGTCTGATATTAAGTCCACGAATATTTCGAAACAACCAATAACATTAAAGATATTTTAAAATTTACTGTTGGTATTATTTGTATTTGTTGTGGTTTTTGGGTATCCGATTACCTGCCGAGCCTCCGCGCTGGAGCAGGTGCCGTGCCGAGCAATCGCTATCATGATCGAGAAACAAGTGAAAATATTCGATTACGTATAATAATTAAAACTTGTCAAGTTATTCTTAGTTTTTCTTTTCTCATGTTGAAAAAAGAAAATGTAGCTTTTGTATGGAAGAGCAACGAAAGTTTTGAGAAACTAAGAAATTCTTTCATTAACGAAAATAATAAAATTTTCAAAAAAGTCTTATTAAATTTACTACACTCAATTTGTGTTATTTGCCAGTCCCTTATAGCAGCTCCCACAATTTCTAAATGATTTAGGAAAATCAGTTTATACAGAATTAAAAATAATATACCTACATAAATAAAATAATATCAATCTATAAATACGCCAAAAAAATGTTTTAACTACAATTTCACAAATCCAAGATATCCAATAATCTTTGGTTATGTCTTAGACTTTCGCGTGGTCTTTCGTCAAATTTTCGACTTTAATGCGCAAACTCTAGTACAATTCCCATTGGAAAACACAATTTCCAATGCTCGTAAGCAGGGGAATATTTTCCCATACTTCTCATTGGAAAATATTCCACCGCTTATGTCGAGAATACGAAAACTGAATTCCCATGGGAAAATTTTATTTTCCCATGGGAATAAAAGTCGAGAATTGACCCCCTGATGAGCGGAGGGCTGACTGAACGGCGCCAACGCATTTTCCCAAAATTCATAATTTCTCCTCGATCTACACGTTGACGTCGGTAATCATATGGCAACTGTCCAGCGATTCGCTATGGGCTGCTGGTACTATGCCGATACAATAATTATAGCGTGCATTTATTACGATATAGAAAAACCGTAATCGTATTGTACAGGTCCGTAGCTAATTAAATTGTTCGCTCATAAACTTTATTATTGCATTTGTGTTTGATTCTTTTATTGTTAATAAATTTAGGAGGAGTTAAATTAAATTAATGATTAAGTATATGGAAATTCTAATTTGTAGATGACTCTTGCTACTTCGCAGGGCGACGTCCCAGAGCCCTCCCTCACCAGCCGCCACTGCCAAGATTCCTTGGTATTTTGCGAAGCAGTTAACGGTCAAGGTTTTAATCAATATAATTTGATACTATGGGGTCTATTCTGTAAAAATTTGGTTAAAATTAAACCTAGGTTATAAAAATAAACGGGTGTCATTTTTAATTTTGTATTCTGTATTCTTTGTTCAAAATATTTTTTTTTTTTGTTATTTTAAATGCAGCGTTGGCCGCTTTGGGATTATTTTAAATGCACTTTTAGATACCTATATTACATCTTTGCCATGTCTATTTTAACCGGGGCTGGTTATTAAATAACTAATAGCAAAAAGTTGAACTGATGAAATACCGAGTAAAGATTTAGGTTATAATTTAATCGGCCCAGTTATACATAACCTTTTAACCTGGGGGTTAAAATTAACTAAAACGTTACAGAATAGACCCATATATCAGCTATTTAACAGTTTTTAACCTTTATTTTGTCTAAAGAAATTAAATTTATCTATCAAAGCATCAGTTGTCTGTTATATAAATGTTGTAATACCTACCATGTCACCTGTAACCATAAACTGCACCAGAAGCTGTGGAATTATCGAAAATACACTCGTTGAGCTATTCGTAATTCCCATTAAGATTCCTGAATGGTTTGGAGATAAATCTACATGGTTTACTTGAAAACCACAAAGACCACCGGCAGTAATTCCTCCATTGAATATTAGAAGTGCTACTGAGAGTCCAGCGTGTTCTTTTGAGACAAAACCCAAAATGGAGAGACTAAGTGCTGGAAGTAGCATACCTGCAAAATTAAATTAGAATTAAGTTTTGCCGAAGAAAATAGAGACGTTACAAGTTTCTGAAACTACACCAAGCCCTAGTAGATAGGTAAATCACCGACGAAGTTAAATAAGAGAATGTAAGGAATATTTTGAATTGAAATAACAAATCTTATAAAGATGAATTAAAAAGACAAGTAACTACATCAGTGTGTAATATTTTGTTTAATAAAATAAGGCTCATTTAGATATCTTCACATAAAACAAATTGAAAATACATTTTAGGAAATTGTTTACAACAAATCTACTGATTAATAAAATTTGTAAATTTCAAATATTGATTTCTAAGGATCAATCATTTCGACCAATAATAAGGCAGTTAAAATGGTTACTTAATTTTTGTTATTCAAAGCTAAGGGGTATGGAACATTAGGTAAGTTGATACTATTTTTAACTGTGTTTAGAAGTCGTTAAAATAAACATATTTTTCAAAACTTTAAAAAACTCAAAAATAAGAGTACAGAATCAAACTATCTAAATCTAGGTCTGGACTTGTATATGAAAAGATACCTTAATAATAAGTCTGTTTATGTTTTTATCTTTTTTTTTTTAATTTTCTTATGAATCACAATTCAATTCAGTGTGGTAAATTAAAAATGAAGTGCGTTTAGAAGAACACATTTTAAAGATTATCGAGAAAGATCCCACAACAAGTAAGAGGGTGATTGCTATCAGGTGAGAGTAAGTCAAAGAAAAGTGGACAAAATTGCGGTAAAATCAATTGTATCCCTTTCACGTTCAACGTGTTGAAACACTACAACTTGAAGATACAACGGCATGGTGTGAGATTACCATTTTTAGATTATTTAAGCTAGATAGGACCATTTTGGATATATTCTGGAATAAATTAATATAAATTTCTTATTTTTGAGATTTTTGAAAAAGTGAATAAAAAAGTTGTTTAGTTTAATGACTTCTAAATATGGTTAGTGTGTGGATAAATAACATACTCTCAAAGCAAGCAGTAAACCTAAGTGATGAAGGTGTGCATATAAGAGGCTTGGTTGCGAAGGGATATCCACATGAAGGGGCACTATCACCTCTACTGTGGAACAGGGTCATCGACTCCTTCATTAGCCTCAATAATCTCTACACAATGGCGTATGCATAGGACTCGGTCATTCTGCAAACAGGAAATATTCATAACACACTGCGAAAGAATGCAAGTAGCTCTGAAAATTAAAAAAACAGTGGCGTAAGGACCATTCACTGTCTATCAATCTTAAGAAGACAAAAATTGTCATTTTCACAAGAAAAAGGATGAAAATAGAACTAAAGTCTCCAGAGCTTCTAAACTTTACAACAGAGGTGAAGTACGTAGGTATTATCTTTGACAGTGAGTTAACATGGAACTCACACCTATAAGACAGAGTAAAAAAGCATACAATGCTTATAACAATGCCGCCAAACCGCGAGGCGTACCTAGGGTCTCTTCTCCATAATCGCCGCATGGACTTGCACGGCCATCATAAGATCTATGCTAACATGCGGTGTAATTGTCCGGATACCGAAATCCCAAAGATTGACAGCTATCCGCAAATTAAAACAAATTCTAAGAACCGCATATCTCAACACAACAGGAGCCATAAAAACCACACCAACCAGAGCCATTGAAGTAATTTTTAGTCTTAATCCTCTTGATATTTGCACCAAGGAGGTTGCTCTGATGACAATGACACGACTACCCACGGTTGGAATAGAACCTGATGTAGGTACGTCGCTTTTGGCAGGAGGCGCTTGATACGCTTCTACTGCTTCAAGAAAACATGAACTCCATCTCACCGAGATATACCTTTCATAAGCCATATGAAGTTAGAACAAATCGAAGATCCGGAAGTCGCATGTGCGATTCATATCTACACCGATGATTCTAAAACATAACAACGCTCAGGATGTGGAATATACTCCAAATCTTTAAACTTAAACATAAAATGGGCTGTGAGCAATAGTGCCAGAGTAGTTCAAAACGAGCTCACGGGGATTCTTATAGCAGCTAAATAAGTTACCGGAAACAAGATCACTGGAAGGAACATGCTCATATATACAGATAGCAGACCAGCACTACTCACCTTGGACAGACCACGAATTTACTCAGGGTTAGTACTAGAATGTCACGAAGCTTTGACCGAAGTATCCATAAACAACGAGGTCACCTTAAGATGGATCAAAGGTCATGCCACATCGGAAGGTAACCGTCTTGCTGATTTACTAGCGCCAAGAAAGCAGTTAACCAAATACTTTTTGGACCTAACCCCTTTATTGGAGTGACAATATTCGTAGTGACAAACAAAGATCATTCCCTTGTGAAATTCAAAGAAAAATGGGATGAAATAAGAAGTTGAAGAGTTGCCAGGGAGATTTTAAGTTATCCTGATAACACTACATCAAACAAATACTGACTGACTGGTCATTGCTAAAAACGGAAGCATCTCCATAGCTTGGGGGCTGTTAGAATATGCACTCTGCAAGGGGTGCGAATAAGATGAGGCCATCGAGCTTATCCTCTACGATTGCCCGACGCTTTCATTTATTAGAAGATTTGTGTTCGGCGAGTATCGGCTAACACCGGCCCATATAAGACAGCATCTGTTGGCGACGTTGCCAATTACCTCAAATCTGTAGGCCGGCTCACGAGCTAGAAGGTGCTTATCAACTTGGAAGGATGCATAATGGGTCTAGTGAGGCCCAAGTGTCGTGGATTAACTTACCCTCCACACGTTACAGATACAGATACTTCTGTAGGCAATTAAAAAAAGGGTTCACCCTATATATCTGCGTGTGGCGGGAATAAGTACATGAGTCAAGAAGAGTGAAACGACATTACTCTGACTTATATTATTATACCCACCGTATAACGCCGCACTTCGACTAATGGGCATACACACAATCATTTCTAACACATTTAGGCTTCATTATAGACTTATGTATTTTACACATTTATGTGTTTGCAGTTAGTTATTGAGGCTGGATTTAAGTTATTAAAAATATATGATAATTTGACTTAGATGCTAATTTCCACCATACGCAGATATAAATAATGTTAGGGGTTAAAACGTGTGTGTGATTAGATTTAGGTTTCCCTTGGCTACGGATACTAAGTCCATTCGCCACGGGGTTAAAATGTTTTACCCTAATAATGCTAACATTCTTTATTAAAGTGGTAAAAGACTTTTACCTATAAATAGCTTTTAGTTTTGAAAAATTGCTTGAACAAAAGTTATGATTTGTTTTTTTATAATCATACTGTAAAATTGTCAAACTGTCTTTTGTGGCCATTAGCCTTAGATATTTACTCGATATTTACTTGTTTATTCACACTTCACAGGAACAATCTATTTTCTTTGGCATCAAATAAATAAACTAAACTTGGCAACATTGTTGTAATTTATTAAATGAAATAGCGTTTTTAATTCGGTAAATAATGTGACCCAACCGAAAGTGAGTTTACTCCCACCGTAATTATCGTTAATATAAATTTCTATTTAAAGTTTCTGTATATGAAAAAATATAAAATTAATCAATGTTTAAATGTTATGTTACGATTTTAATTTTTTTACCTATACTATTAAATATTTTTCTGGCAGTTCCTCTGCCCACTATATTTCTATTTATTATCCAATCACAGACTGAGCTAAAAACTACTGAACTCAAACCCATTGCTACATAAGGAGCTGCAGAGAACAAACTATTCTGTAAAAAAAAGAACAAAATTTTAATTTATTTAACAATGTGCAAATAAATAGTCGTGTTATGAAAAGAATGTTTATATTGTCATATTCATAAAATATAAATTTGATGTCTTTATTTTACAAACATTTCAATATTATTTCCTTTTCAGATAGGTACATATTAATATATTTTTTTGTTTTAAAACGTGGAAATAAATAACTAAACAACCTAATGTGAAAACAAACTAAAGAAAAATAGAAAAAAATTCGTGTCCCCCGGTTGTATTCGAACCTGCACTCTCAGGCTTGCCGGGCCATTTTCTTGACCGCTCGAACATTATGGCGCTTACGATCCTGCGATCAAGAAATTAATGAACGACAGATTCAAATTCAACCAAGATACCCAGTTTCTTTTAAATTTTTATAGCCATTATTACAGTGTTATCGGAGGAACCCATAGAAATAGTATATAAAACCAATTCCATTTATCAAAAATGAAACCATAAGGAAAAAATAGTGTGTCGGAGCTCATGCGCATAACGGTGCTGGCTCGGACAGGATCGGTGCAAGTTTTTTATTGATCGAACAAATCGTTCACACGATGTTTCAGTTTGGAAGTCATAAATTTTTAGAGATATATAAAAAACGTTGAAAAAAATTCAAGCATGGTGAATATGGTTCTGAAAGTCCTTATTAAGAAAGATATGGCATAAAATATGAATTAGTTAATTTTCGGTAATCATTAGTGCTATATTCACAAGATTTTGCTTGTGACCTGACATCTTATTTGATTTAGTATCATTTGCTACAAATAAATTTAATCTGGTGAGTGCAAAATAGGGGGCAGTTGCGTTTCGCCCAGGAATAATATATTCGATATTTTTTTACATTTTGTCATCCGAGACTATGAGTCGTTATTTACTAGACAGAGAACCTTTCATGTTACCATTTTCAATATAAATTATACAAAGATGTCTGCATCTCTTAAGATTCAAAATTAAAAAATACTACTATATTTATTTAGTACATATTTTATTTTAATTTTGAACCCTTTTAAAATGGTCTTTCGGTTCCATAATAAAAGTTAGTCGATGCTTTCTAGAAACATTCTATATGGTCTAAACCAGTTCATGGATTGTTTTCGATCAATTTAATACAAAGATTTCAAGTTTTTAGTCGATGATAACATTCCACATCAGCACATTGCAAACCTATATTATAGATACCTAATAAGAATAAACTTGTGATTCATTAATTTGATAGTTATCTCAATTATAATGATTTTTTTGTTTATATGACTCTTTTGATTTCTAAATATATTTTGGCCTTACAATACAAAGCGTTTTGAATAACACTTTTTTATTGAACGATGAATGTTGACAGGCGTGTACCTTTTTCGGAACAAGAGGCGCCTTAAAGACGGAAATGATTTTCGAACTATCCAGTTAGTTTTCGGAAAACTAGAAAATGTTTGAAGAAAGTCGTCAATAACATTAGCGTGTCGTTCATGTGTTTCATTTTGATCAGCTTTCATTCTAAGGGTCGATTCCACCGTTATGTTAAACGAAGTTTAAATTACTAAACGAATATTAAAATGACCTTGGCAACGTAAAAATATCATTTTAATCTTCGTTTAACACAATGGTGGAATCGGCTCTTAATTCTCTTCCTCCGATTCAAAATCGAGTTTTTCGATATTTCCACAGTTTATTTATAACACTTTCTAAACTGGCTTTATCTATCATTTTATATACTTTATAATTCCCAATGAGAAGTAGCCCATTTCCAGAGCTTATAACTTTTAAACACCTAAGAAACGTGCGGTTTTTGCGTTGTTTTGCTTCACTGACACATAAATTATGTTTTACCTATACAGGATGTTTTTTAAAAATCTCCTCTTTTAAATTCACCCCAATCAAATTTTATCACCCTGTATATGTTTAGGTCATCTGAAAGATACACTTTTCTACTTTTCAAAAATGTATAATTTGTACATGGTATTTTTCAAAATGAATTTGATAAAATTTGGTTACGGTGAATTTAAAAGATGAGATTTTCAAAAAACGCCCTACTTTGCACTTTATTAACAATGTTTTTTTAACATACTTCAAAATGGGAGGATAGTCTCAATTGGTTGAAATATTTTTTTATGTATGTTGAGCGATAATTCTTTACCACGTTGCCCGATCTCTATGATTCTCTTTCGTTAGAAAATGAATAGTTCCATATAAATATAGTCAAGATGGGATCCATGAGAAAATCATTATCATCTTCATTTTTAAAGTAGGTTTTTTTAATTTCTTTAAATCGTACAGGTTCGCACGACGTAAGGAATGAAGAAATGTAAATAATTGTTGTGCCAGTCAAAAAGCGAAGAGGAAGTAACGATTAAAATATCGAGTGACAGAAGAGTTTCTAAGTTCGTTGAGATCGGGTTTATATTTTAAAATGCTTTGAAACCTGTATTTGAAAGTATACCCCATGCCAACTCCGCCAGTGACGTCACAAATGTTAAGTAAAGGTACGATTTAACACGGTGATCGCCATAATGATATTTTTTGCCTTCTTCCAGGCCAATTTTTTTTTTTTTTTTCGTTTTAAACGCATAAAAATGCAGTTGAAAAACGACGCATTTTTTAAATAACGCCATTATTTTTTTTAAACATGATTTTGAAAAGAATCAAAGAAAACTACAAGAACTAATGGATATATTGTCAGATAAAGAGGTGTTTGAGTATTCATCGGAGAGTTATATCGAAAGTAGTGATTATTCCGAATCATCTAATTATTCTTCATCTCCTGTTCAACAAAAAAAGAAGAAAAAGGTGCTTAACGCTTCCAATATCTCTTATAACATATATCAACTCAGTACATCATTTGAAGTACAAATCAAAAGCGAATCTAATAGATGAAACAATTGAACATTAGAAACTTTGAATGGGATAGTGATACAGGTGATGAAATACCTAGTGCTTCTACAGTGTTGAAGTGGAATGAGGTAACCGGGGATAATTTAAAACATTTCACTGTTTTCGAGCAAGGGTTGAATATAAATGAGAATATCTCAGGTATGCATGATAACCAGCCTATTGAATTTTTTTTCATGTTTGTGGATGACGATATCATGAATATTATGGTACAAGAAACCAACAAATACGCTTCGCAAAAAGCAGAAAAAACCAATTTACTTCAAGCTCGGATCCGACATTGGAAGGATACTACTATTGACGAATTGAAAATCTTTTTGGGTATACAGATTTGGATGGGATTAGTTCAGTTGCCGAGTGTGACATCCTATTGCTCTAAGAATATCTTATATTCAAACGAAATAAAATCATTAATGTCCAGAAATCGATTTGAGCTCCTTCTGAGCCACTGGCATTTTTCTGATAATGAAAGTACAGATACTTCACACAGACTTTACAAAATCAAACCTCTTCTAAATCATATCAGTCAAAAATTTCAAAACGCAGTAACCCCTTCACGTAATGTTTGCGTAGACGAAACCCTCGTGCTTTTTCGAGGACGTCTTAGTTTTCTTCAGTATATAAAAAACAAAAGACACAAGTTTGGAATAAAAGTTTTCAAACTGTGTCTTGAACAAGGTTACACGTATGATTTCAAAATATATTGTGGGGCAGAAAAAATAATACTCCCGACAGCGTACCAATATCGATTGTTATGGGGCTTTGCAAAAATTTATTGGATATTGGTCGAACCATATTTGTTGATAACTATTATACCAGTATCGAACTTGCTCACAAACTGCTGGACAGACACTCATCTGGTCGGCACCTTGAGAAAAAATCGCAAGGGAAATCCCAAGGGGCATAGTACAAAAAAAATTAAAGAAAGGCGAAGTTATTGCCAAGGAAAGTGATTCTGGAGTGGTGATACTGAAGTGGTGTAATAAACGCGAAGTTTTGATGCTGACAACAAAACACACAAATAACATGGTTACTGTAAAGTTTAAAAATGGAACTGAAAAGGAAAAACCCATAGCTATTAGAGACTATAACCAAAACAAAAGTTTCATTGATTTCTCTGATCAACTAAAAGCCTACTCTTCTTGTCTCAGACGTAGCATCAAGTGGTATCGCAAATTGGCAATAGAAATTCTTCTAGGTTCAACTATCGTAAACGCGTTTATACTATATAAACAGGTTACTGGTAAAAATATTACAATTACCCAATTTAGAGAAGATATTGCCAAAAACTTGCTAAATATAACCAAAAGGGAAAATCCTCCATTGGCAGAGAGACATCACATTGAGGAAGTGAACACTACTAGTAGACGTAGATGCACAAATTGCTACAAGAACATGTCCGAACTACACGGTAGAAAATACGCAACGTCTAAGGCCACGATGTCGTGTTATAAATATATACAGTGCGACAAATTTTAATGTATACCTTGCTTTACTTCTGTTCTTATGTGCACATTATAAAGACTTCAAAATTCTGATTTCTTTCGTTTTATTTTTTATTTTATTGTTGGAATACGAATTTTATGTTTATAAATCTAAGGGAATGTATTTTATTTTATATATTTTCAAATCTATTGTTTATTTTTCAAATAAAATAATATTTTGTTGTCTAAATTTATTGATTTTTTAGTTACCTAACAAACTACATTAGAACAGTAAAAATAATAAAATACATAAAACAAAAATAGTATGTTATATTGTGACATTCAACCCTTTATCAAATCGTATATATTCAGGCCTGGCCAGGGCCAACTAAGTTAATTTGTTTATTAGGCCATGTACTTTTATTTTTTATAGCATTTCTACTCAGACGTGAAGCAATTCTGTGCAGCGTGACTTGAAGTAAAACATTACATGCGAGACATATGTGCGGCGCGGCCTGTTGAGTTACATTCAGTGCGAGACACACTTGCCACACATGGCGATACACGTGTTAATAGGATTAATTTTCAGTTTCTACATTTGAAAATATACCCGATGCCAATTCGGCCAGTGATGCTATAAATGTTAGGTAAATGTACAATTTAATAGGGTTCATTTTAAAATTATTTTAAAGTATACCCGACTGAAACACGCTCTCTGACATCATGAGCGTTATGTAAAGGTATATATTCCAAATAAGCAACATTTCATGTTCTATCGGTATCAGGAATAATAGAAGTGGCATCTCATTTAAAATAAAACGGAAATAACAGAACTGTCAGAATATTTTAGATGGAAAGATCATAACCTGTTTACTATTTTTAACAATTTTTAACAAAAAATCATTCACTGTCTTGTCATATACCGATAATGTCTCCCCGTCGCTGGACAGCCTGTATATAAATATACAACTCTCTATTTACATAATTATAATTCTTAGGTAGGTTTAGATTTCCAGACATAAATCTTGTAATAAATATAACAGCTGCTAAATACATTGATTACATTTTTATTAGCCAATGTAAAAATGTCTTTTATTGTACCTAGGATTTAACTCAGTACTTCACAAAACTAAAAATAAAACGCCACTTTCACCGTGTAATTAAATAATAAACCACAAATTCAAGCCAAAATATCACAAACGGTCCTGTAAGGGCAGCGTCATATAGACTTGTAACTCGGGATTTAAGTGGTATTGCCAGGTCAATATTGAATTTGTAGGTGAATTGCTTGTTGAACATTATTACCATATTTGTATATATTTTTGGAAATGTAATTACACATAAATATTATTAGTTGATTATTTAAATGTTTATAAGTTATTTTGTGGCGATATTTCGTAGATATAAACTGTTTAAATAATGTAATTTAAAAACAAATAAATTGGAAATCTTTTATGTTATGTATGTTTCATATACTTGGCAACACTATAGGGACAAGTCATTCATAGTAAAAGAAAATCAAAGTATGTGATGCGCATGCTTCTAGACACACTATTTTGCGATGTCAGGCGCAGAGACGCGTTTTTATGCACAGTAGGTCTTCTATATTATTTCTATGGAGGAACCACGAACGTGACTATTGCAAGGACTAGTTCGTCATTCGTCTGAAAATGTTAGGGTTTCAGTGGTACGGATAAGCACCGTAAAATCATTGAAAAGAAAAGGGAAAATTATTTATGTCTGTTAAATTAAAGGAAATTATAATTATTCCGATTTCAATATTTATAATAAATCCTCAAAAATCCATGAATAATTTATTCTGCTTACCGTTCTAATATCATAGTTTAGAACTTTGCTCAAATATGTGGGCGTCTGAGTCAACAATACTGAGCTACCCCAATTGGCTCCTGCAAATGCAAGTGTTACTGCCCAAAATGGGGGTGAGGTTAATATTTTTTTCCATGGGGTTTTATATTTCTAAAAAATAAAAATTTAGTTATTGGAAGTTAAATAAAGAATTTAATAGCTATTTATCAAATCAGTTGCGAAATGCCTTACTTTATACAGGGTGTCCCGAAATTAGACGGTCATATTTTAACAGCATAATGTACATCCTAAAATGGAAGTAAAAGTTTATATAAACATAGGTACAAAAACGTTTCTTTTCCGAGATACAGGGTGTTAAAAGTGAAATCCTGATGACACTCTTTTGTAAATATTTTCTAAACGTTTAAAAATAATTAGGTGAAATTTGGTACAAATGCTTACCTTTTTACGCTCTATTTAATGGACTAAATCCCAGTTTTTGATCATCTTCATAGGTGGGTAAATTAGGGGGGGCTTAAGGTAAAATTGCCCTAAGTTTTTTTTGTTGACAGTTTTTAACATTTTTGACTATAAAATTTAAAAATCCAATGTTTTCTTTATAATAAAGCTACTGCTGTTGCATCTCGCTAGGACGCACCGTTTTCAAGAAAAAAGCATTTGAAAATTTCATGATAAAAGTTATTCGAAAGTGTAAACAATAATTAGTAGGCCTGTGAAATCAGAAATTTTATTTTTTTTTACTTTGGAAAACCGGTGACTAAAGAAATTTTAGAAAATATTTACAAAAATGTGCCATCAGCACTTCCCTTGTAACACCCTGTATCTCGAAAACGAAACGTTTTCGGACCTATGTTTATATGAACTTTTATTCCTATTTTAGGATGTAGATTACACTGTTAAAATATGACCGTCTAATTTCGGGACACCCTGTATATTGAGTGAATATTTGCAGGACGAGCAGAATCAGGTCCCGCAACATGAATGAGTTACATAAAACGGCATTTCGTAACGTGCTACGTACAATATTTTTTCTAATTTTGATTAAAATTTGTTTTGGTTAAGTTACTGACATTTAGGCAGCCAATTTTACTTTCTCGTATTGTTAGTTGCATATATGCATCATTTTATTGACAATTAGAACCACGATTAGAACATATTTATTCTCAACGACTTGCAGTGTGTTTACATTAATTAATAAATAATTAATTAATAAAACCTTTTAATTCAAGTTGCAGACCATTATTCATACAGTCCACTACCGTGTATAATCAATCCTCTATAGATATGAACTTTCAATAATAATGTATATTATTGATTTTAAAACCATTAACTTTTATTTTTATTTGTTTTCTTTTCGCAACTGGTGACGCAATGAATTTTCCAAACCAGTTTCATAATGTTCAACATTATGCAACTGGTTGCGTAAAATAGATCATTTTGACACTTGCTGCGATTTCGAAAAATGTCACTTTATATGTCAAAATTAGAAAAATATTGTTTATAGCATATGATATTAAGTACATAAAAGAAAGATGAATGACTAAAAGTCATGTATTACAAAATACTTCTTCTCTCCCGATAACAATTACTTCTCTGGCTATATGCTTCGACTGGTAGTCAATTATATCAAATTTTAACTTATACGAACCTTATTTTCACGTTGTCCTAAACTAGTTTGAATATAGGATTTTTCCTCTTCACTAATTGTTTTATATTCACTTGGACTATTTGAACCAAATATCATCCACAATATCACCCATTTGAGCCCTAGAGCTCCAAATAGGTAAAATGCTGCTGGCCATCCAGCCCAACTCGAACAAATTACTCCTGTTATAGGTAAAGATAAAATATTTCCGCAGATAGCCCCTAAAAATTACATTAATGATTATTAAAAATACAAAAAATGTTTAACAAGAAATATAAAAAATAAAATACATAATTTGGCTACGGCACCTAAAAGTAGCCGAGAATCTACTAGAAAAGGGCTGGCTTTATATAAATATCGTGACATTGTTTACTAGTTCAGTTTGAAGTATAAGTTTGAATATAAATGTTGATAGATAGATATAGACTTGAAAAATACAATTTTTTGTTTAGATTTTATGAAAATTACAATCAACAAAGTAACAAAAAAAAATTACAACTGAAAGTTAAAAAATTACAAAAAACCAAAATTGGAAACACTGTTATGGGCAACAACCCTTTGTATTTCTAGAGAACTTCATTAAGCTTGCGCCTGTGTTGAGAAAAGGGCCGCTGCCCAAATCAGTGCCACCAAATTGAATGGTCTAATACACCATGAAACATGAACGGACGATTTTACTATTGAAATTTTACATAAAGCTTGTAGACGCTTTCAAATACACTGCACATAACTATTTTGGGTTCGCTAACACTTAAAACATTGTTTTTTTACCTTAAAATCATCAGAATGTGTTGTTTAGTCTCGACCGTAAAAAATTCAAATTAAATCATTTCAATTGATTTCTTGTTGTACAAACGGCTAAATAACAATATTAGACTGTCAATGTATCAATAAACCATATAAAAAAATTCGTAAACGTTTACAATTCTTTACTTTTTGGTTTTTAAAATAATAATATGAAATAATTTTTTATTTCTATAAATGTGGGTTGCCAAACAGTAAGAAAATATGTATATGACAGACATGATGGTGGTTGTTTTGCAATAGTTCCTGGTCTTACAGCATAGCCGGGATATCAGAGCGAAGTCGGAGCATAGAACATACTTTTAGTCGGAGGATGTTTGAAAAAAGTCCATGGGTTACTCCAGAACGTATATGTCTAGGTCTAACCAGTACGTGAGCAATTAATTAAATTTAAATGGCAAAGCAACCCGCGATGGCCCCAGGCCGTACAGGTTAGGTAAATTAGTTTGTTTTTTTATTTTTCTTATTTTATTTATAATTTTTTTTGCGAAGCAATCCGCAATGGCTCCATGCCTCATAGGTTGGGTAAATTACTTAAGTTTTTTAATTATTTTAAAAAAATGCATTTTACCTCATGACAACTACGGGTGCTCTTTGGTTCTACGCGCTATTTCGTTTAAGCGCTATTTTATAACGCGTTTTATACAATTTTTCTGATATCGTCGCATTTTTTGATGGCCCGGAACAACGCAGGACACAGGAAAACATGACGATTGACATGTTTGGATTATTACTGATCTGCACAGGGATTCATATGTACGAACTCAACACGTTACATGTTGAATAAAGAGAGAGAGAGACATTACATAAGAATCGCAGTCTGTCGAACGAAGATAGGCATCTCGACATATGCTGTATTGAAGATGAGAATCCCACTGCTGGTAACACTGCATATTTTGGATGTTTTTTAAACGACAGACGTATCCCAGCAAACCATTCTGTTACATGTTCCCTCCTGTTACATAACTAAGAAGGATAAAATATACTTAGACTGTCCTGTATGCACTTTTATGTGTTATTTATGGAACCGAACACCTAAGTTCAAACTTAGCACCATAGTTATATACCATGTATATAATTAAAATATGTGTTACAAAATTACATATCCGTTATATAAATTTAATAACATAAAGCTTATATCAATTTATATATCTATGTGTAATCTACATTAAAGTAACAATTTGTACTAAATTATTTCATTCAAAATGTTACATAGCGTATAATATATACAAAAATGCTGTTGACCAAACGGTCCTTGAAATACACATGTTTTTTAGGTAGGTAAGTAGGAATATCTGGTGCATTATTTTTAGGAGTGTTTCAATGTTCAATGGCGGCTATAGGCGTTTTATGGAGGTACCTGTGACATTTTTGGATTTATTGTGGAAAATAGCAGGTATGTTGTGTTTTTATAATGATATTGAGTTATTATATGTGTGTACTGTATTTCGATGATACATTTGAGGTGTAAATATTAATTTTTGTTCTCTTTTCAGGACATGCTTGATGGGGCCCTGAATTTCGAGGCCGTGGATCGTCGTTAATAGCCAATCCCCAACTAGCCATTCATAAAAGTGTATTTGTTGTGAAGTTCTCATCATCATCTTTTGTATAGTCCAGGAGACAGTGACGATTTTCGGTATTTATTTTCCCAGTCAGCAAGCACGAATAGAGAATTGTAGGATTAGCAATTCTAAGCAAAATTCATATATATTTAGAGGGGGGATCCGATGGGCTGAGGCCGAAAATGCGTCAAAACATACGAGAACACGGCCTTTTTTTTTCCATTGATAAAAATAATTTTAGTATTAAGAGATGTACTGAAGTTAAGTAAAAAAATAGTATGATTAATCTGTATGGACAATATATTTGACAAGTGCATAAAATACACTTTCAAACGAGTTATGTACACAATTATTTCTACGACCACAATTATTTAAAGAATGCGTACACTTTAATATACAAAACACCTGGATTTTGTATATTAAAGTGTACGCATAGGACACATAAATAAAATCATATATCACAATGTTTCACCTAACCAGTTGGTTTATTTATAGAAATTAAACATAATAATTGAAGATATTACAGAAGAAAATAGGGAAATAAATTACATTTCCTTTTACACTTTTATATAATAATTGTTTTATTTAGAATTCACGAAACACTTATTACTCTACATTAATTATAATTATTGTTAGTTTCGTTATGTCAAATCATTTATACTAGAGGTGTGAGGAAAATACAGTGAACTGTGGAACGCCAATATTGTTGGATGCGCGTGGTAGAAATGGTCCTATAATACTGCTAAAAACATAGCTAAATTTTCATGGAAACACTGTACTTTTGACATTTGCAATACTCCGACGCATATGCATTATTGATGTAATCTCATGATTTTACAGTAATAGTTTTTGAAATTTTAATGTGATTTTTAGGTTATTATGGTTATTCATTTTATTTGGTTCTGATCTTTTGCGCTTTTAGATTATTTGTCTTTTATATAGTTTTTAATTTGAATTTTAATATTGTGGTCAATTTATATTTGATTGCTGCTTTTCGACTAGTGCTTTATTCTTTTTGTGTTAAAATAAGCTTTATAACCATTAAGTACATGCTTCTAGTTGATATCTACCTAATCGTCATCGGGTGCTTTCAACAATGGGAAAAAGTGTATGGTTTTTTTGGTGTAAAGTTAGACGCCTTCATTTTTCAGGTAAGTTATTTGTAGTTATTTTTTACTTAAAAGGATAGCAATACGTCCTGGTTCGGGGTGTGACTTTTGGGTTTTAGCTATCTGAGCCAAATTGTCGGCTAAGTGTCCTCTTTTAGGGCACCCAGAACCGAAAACTATATAGGTATATAATATGTTTTTTTTAAATTATTTTTTAATATGTATGCAGCTTGGATGAGGGCTTTAGGAAGAGATCCTAAGACTGAAACACTGACTGCTATAAATGCCGTTTTTAGAGCACATTTCATAGTAAGTGATTTCATTCTAGCAGGAATGAGGAAACGTTTAAAAAACATGCTGTACCAGCTATTACTTTAAGACCTCGTCTCTTTAAGTTATTATTACTTCATTCTAATGCATATATTAAAATGGTTTTTAACGTATGCCCTTATGATTAAAAGATGTAGGTATTTTAGTTATGGTATAATAGAAATATATGATACATTGTATTGACTGACCTACTGGCCACTGGTCATTCCACTTTTACTCCCTTTTTTCATAAATTATCAAATTATTTAAAAACAAATACATACCTAGCTATTTTCTGTAAATTACATTAAACATGTAAAAAACGTATTTCTCATCTATTAAATTGTTATTAATTTATTAAAACAAAAATAAAACCTGACTCGATAACTTAAATCAGTGAAAATAAGTTGCTTGAGATGGGGTCGTTTTTATGTAAAATTTTAGTGTTAATACTTTACTAATAAAACTTCAGTTAATTTATCTTATATATATACACAACAGAAGAGTTAATTGGATTTTCTCCTTGTTGAGTTTAAAAAATAGTAATTTAACATGATTTAAAAACAAATACATGAAATGGGCAAAATAGGCCTGCAAAGGCACTTTGTAAACAATCTCACTTGTATCGATGTGACGTAATGAGCGAATTCAATATGGCTTGCTTTTGTTAATAGATTGGCGTTCCATTTTAAATATACAGTTCACTGGGAATAGATTATTTAAATATATACGGACCGGGAAAACAAGTACGAAAAAAATTCACTGGCTCCTGGACTAGTACTGTATCGAAGGAATTTTATGAATGAAACAATATACGACCCTCTACAATTGCGGTCTACTATAGTTCCGCTGTTGTCAGACGTTATTTTTTTTGGACAATTTAAAGACCTAACAGTATTTCAAGCAAACGCATTAACATTACTACAGTTAAAAACATCGCAAACTTGGCATCAATATTTTAATTTTATCCAAATATTGCATTTCTGTCGAGGATCATCCCCGTTGACTTCAGAAATTGTGTAATCTGTCTTGGTTATATATATCTATAGTTAAAAGCACGTAAACTTGGCATCAATGTTCAATCCGATTATTGGGTTTCTACCGCGGACACCACCGTTCATTCTTCAAAAATGTTGTAAATAATCCTATCTGTCTTGGTTATTTATCTATGTTAATAGCAGATATTTTGTGATTTTTATGATGAATTTGGGTTATTATATTTGTGTGAAATATTTCTATAATATATTTTTGGTTTCGGTTATGAATTTGTCCAATAAAATTATTGATATACCTAACAAATACGTTTAAATTACTTTTTTTATTCCTCCAAATATTTTCGACGTTTTTTTGTATTTGTCTACCTAAGTTAGAACCATATGGAAAACTTTTTTATTATTGGTTATGTGAAAAAATTTATTCTAGATAAAAAGTCCT